TATGTTGGTCACAGTCGATAGAACCTTTTCCGTCGACTCGGTCAGCGATTCGAATTTCATCCCAAAGTAGGAATCAATTAGCGGCTGCTCTTGGATAAGAGTCTTTAGCCAGGCTTCGAAGATGGATTGAGAACATCGCTGATACGGGTAACGCGGCATCGTCCCGTCGCAGTTACTCCGTATCTTCTCTGCCTGCTGATCCGGAGACGGTAGATCCTGGATCCAATAAGCATGTGAAAACGCTACATATAATATTCAGCCTGAAGACGAATAAAATGCTTTCATACCCATTTCGCCAGAGCTTGTCCCCCAGGAGATAGTCCAGTGCTAAAAATGCAGTCTAACGGAAACTGCGATGGTACACCTTGAAAGAGCGAAAATATCAGTTAAATCCTCCATCTGTAAGCGAAGCAAAATGTCAGAAACCTTTCTCTCGTAGCCTATCCGCAAGCCCTAGACGTTGTAGCAGCTCCATTGATCGTGAATTGGTAATATCCATCTTGGGCCATTTCGTAGTTTCCAGGTTGCGCTCCACAAGAACCGTTCGAATGCCCCGTTTTGCGAGCTGGAAGGCCGTTATCATTCCGATGGGTCCAGCGCCAATTACCAAGACAGGAGCCTTCACCTGGTGTGGCATATCGACGGTGGTCTTTGTCATGGTGAAACCGTGGGAACGGAGCCAGTGACTATGCTAGGATGTTGCCTGACCCGACTGATCTACCTATCGATCGAGATTTCCGCAGCTTTTGGGGGAAAGCGTCAGAAATACAGCTATAAATAGAGTATTTCGATTGGACGTAGTTAGAAGCACAGGGCGTTGCCAATAAGTAGTGTCGACTGGTCCGCCCTCTATACTGGGGTATCCTAATCAGAGAAATCACCGTTCCCACCACGGACCTCGGTTGCCTACCATATAATCAGTAAAGAGGGAGCGGGGCAAGCTCAAGCACCATTATAGACGTCAAATGAGCAGAGTACACCCAAAGCTCGGTGCCCAACAAGCGGGGGCGGGGGATGAGGGACCGCCATGGTCGAAATCGAATGAGGGAATAACCTCCAAGTGAAGATCGACACAAGTTTGGCGGGGTAGTAAATCGGAATACCTACAATTAAGGCCCCGCGTAAAGAGGAGCAGTGTGAGCTTCGGACGTCAACCCCCTTACTGATACCTTAGCTTTACCCGTATGTGACTCAAGTCTTGGAGAAGTCCCACAACTGGCGTCCCGTCGGCGGTCTCGGCTTCCCACATACACCCACAGCAGGTAAGTGCCACTATTGAGAGCAGAACGAGTGCCTGCACGTAGTATGCAATCACGGTGGAATTGCTCGTTAACCGAATACTATTTATCTCTTGTATGGCGATATTTTGTCAATTGCATGTAAGTTTAGATGATGCTATCGAAAGATACGTAACTGTCGTATACTTCCCCGGACTTCCTATAAGGACTGTGGGCCTATTCCGCCCTAGAAACACATACACCAAGTTGGTAGTACTCACGGGTCCTGGCTAAAGATACTTCACCGTGTTATTCACCCTCGCCAGATCAATCCCCGCGGTGTATCCGGGACAATACTTTCGCATCCTTGCCTATGACGACAGTTAATTCGCCCCCGTAGTCGAGGTGAGATTGAGCATCACGCTGAATGGGGTAATTTCAAATGGCCAGAGAGGTCGTCCGTGGATTTGGTGTAGACTGGAGGGTAGGTCGGGACACTCAACTATGCAGGCCATTTAATCAGTAGAATGGGTCCGTGTGCATTGGAAAGTGAGGGCCTTACACTGGTCTCCTTCGCGTGTTCTTTGTAGATAAGCCCGATACAGATAACCAGGGCAGTACTCGGGACGGGCGATAGAAGCCAACTTATTGTTCCTTGTGAGATTTGAGTGAGTGTGTTTGCAAGGCCAGCATAAAATACATCAGTCACAGTGTGAAGTTTGTCTGCCCAAAGCAACTTGTCAAAGGGAGTACCGTCGAGCTGCTGCACCGTATACTTATTACCATCAGTATTGATCAGTTCACCATAATAGATCTGATCGCCGACAGAGAATAATAAAAGAAGAATATATTGAAACACAAAATTACTAACAAAGCAACAAAACAGTAAAAAAAGAAGCGAACGAACGCGCGAATTGCAGTAAAAGAGTGAGTTAAATTAGTAGCTATCTAGATGCTCTAGCAAAATAAAGCAAGAAATCATTTATAAACAGCCTGAGCACCAGAAATGTGACTATACCTACCCCAGCAGTTACCTCAACAGAATATATCAAGCACAGAGATCTAAAGTATAATGGATTTCCATGACTTATATAATTATAGATAGACTTATCACGCATCTTGACACCGGCGGCAAGCAGGTGGGACTTATCAAACAATATAAAGATAATCACTGAATGACGGCACCGATGAGGCCTCAGCCGATATCACAATAGGCCTTTGCAACACTCAAGCTTTTACAACAGCAGAAGTCAGTCATTATTGCAGTCAGCCAAAGATGTCCCCATCTACAATTTGATCAAATCGCGGAGGCGCGCTGCTCGACACCGCGGCGATGGGGAAAAGACCTGGAGTCACAGTTCAACTGGCTGCAGAAGCGGAACATCAACGCAGATAACCGTATAAATCTCAAGAAGCTGACATATATCCAATATAAATAGCTCAAGCTAGATGAAATATATCAGTTCATACTAGAATTTGGAATTCCAGCTGTGTACCAGGCCGATAAACAAATTTGATCCGGCAGAAGTTGACCCCAAAAATTATATATATATAATCCGCACAAGGCCCTTGGCAAGTTTCTAGAAAACATTTTTAAAGCAGCTCATCCAGAAGACTTTAAATAGCAAGCAACCAGACACTTCACAAGTAATATTTTATAGACCCCTATCACGCTAATAGACCCCAGAGCAGCTACCTTGCCCAGTGCTGCTCTAATACAAAAACTAGCAGATGCTCCAGGTGCTGGCTCCTTAATAATAATCACTGGTCCCAAAAAATATCTCTTTAATATAAACTATAATTACTATCCTATTCATCCTTCCCGCCAAGAGCCAGCACGGGAAAAAATCATTCTGAAGTTCCTGAGCGAGAAGCCGCGCGTATGAATATTTAGATATTTTGAATTCAGGCCAGCTGCATTTTATTAGGGTGAATCCAATATCCCGGTCTAGAGAATATAGAGAGCTAAATCCGTACTTCAGCTGGGTTACTTCAGCCTTTCAACGCAGGTTTTCGAGTCTTAGTCCCAGTTCTATACCTCAACATTCAATATCATAATAACTGACTTTATCAATTGCTGAACATGGTCAGCGGATCCCCGTCACGGTATTCAAGCATCTGTATCTGAGAAAAGAGCCCATAGACCATGTATTCTTCCTCAGTGCCAATCTGAAAACATCGCACATCTGCCATTGCTCATTTGAGTCCCCCGACTACCATACACAGTAGCTAGGCCATGAGGGGCTGGTCAAGAAGAGATATCGGCTGGCCTCGGGAGTGGGACATCATGTGCTGGGTTCTTAAAACTTCGATTACTGGTGGGATGCCTCGGGTAATATGGTCGAACTTTACGCCCATGGCGACTTAGTGGATACGGAGACGCCGATTGGATATGTCCCTGCGGGGCCACATTCGTTGGCAATTTGGGGCCCTGGACTACTCGCTACGTTTCTGGAGTGATGTATAATGGCAGATGAATTTTAAGAGAGGATTTACTTATCGGTGGTTGAGCATAAATAAGTTTGAATGTTTGGAATGAAACTGCAGCGTCAGCTAAAGCGGGCGCATAATGGCTTGTGGCAAATCTCTATATCCAGTCCACCCTTTCTAAGGCAATCTGCAAAGGCATGGTCGATCATGCTGGATTGGACTTGGCTCAACTGAGTATCGGAGATTCACTTTCTCTATGGCATTTACATTTATTCTCTAGATTTGCCTGAGGCCTCTCGCTAGTGCGAATTTTATGGGAAAAGAAGCTTTGACTCCCGAGTAAAACCAGAATATGGCGCCAGAAAGGGTTTCCAAACTTAAGGAGCACTCTAACTGGAAATAGTGGTAAAGGCAATTACTCAGTAATACACATCAGCCAGCTTTCTTCTCTCTCCCTCCTATTCCCTCCTACCCCCTCCTGTGGCACCCCAAAAATAGATGAAGGTAAAGGGTGTAGAAATACAGATTTGTCGACTACATTGAAATAGAATTAAATAAATCAATGATTATAAACTTCCAATGTAGACCTACCGGGATAATCGGTTGTATTCATGCCTACGGCTGTTTGGCGAGGGCCCGTTATCTGTTACTATATCTGTCATGCGGCGCAGGGGAAGAAGATCGAGGGAGCAACGAACAAAGTATAGTGCTTGAACAATTGCGGGTTGCCTGGGCATTGGCATAATCAATACAATACGACCGAGTACAGTGCGTGGGTAGTTTGCTCAAGTTGGAATCTAGTGACCCTTATCTTAAGTCATGTGTTCTGCCCGCATTCATGCTTAGATTGCTTCTTTTATCAAATAAAGAACCACAGTGTGGAGGTTTCCTCTTTCGGGACGAGCAACGAGAACATGTATTAATGCACCCAATCCTACCGTATGATGTCGTATTGGAGAAAAAAAACCCATTTAAAAGAGCAGCTATCATTGTTAGCTATAACTATTATCGCCACAACCTCAACCTGCACAGCTGTGACTCTGGACGTTGTGGATACCCTCTTCACGGTTAGACTACTCTTCACCCCACCCAAGCGAGCGTATAGGAGGCCTATCAGCGATAGCCGTGGAGAATAAACTTTGGATGCATCACCCCGCAAGCGACCGAACTATTAAAGCCCATTATCGATCTTCTTCACTCATTGACAGCTGTCATACACTTATTGGCTTAATTCAATGAACTATGTGGATCTTTCTGGATTCTTTCCTGCAGCAGTTCAGCTGGGTGGAGAGACTTGTGAAGAAACAGGATGTGCAGGGGAATGATTTCCGCTCTTCATCGGAACATCACACATCATCGCACCCGTGTCAAATAGAAATTTAACCCCTGATGGTCTGGTGGCATCCACTGGGTATCTTCGGTCTCCATACCCCAATCTACCAAATCCACCAACGTGGCTTCAACCTTCCACTCTGTCCCAGACTCCGCCGATACAAGCGCCCAGAGCTTCTGAAAACTCTCTAGATTATGGTAAAACATCATTCCCCAAGGCCGGATATATTCTCTCGCGGCACGACGCGACTGCTGATATCCGATAAGGATGGTACCTGGCCGGGACAGCTCAACAATCCGTTTTCCAGCGTCAATCTGCCCCTGCCAGGAAAAGAGATGGAGAAATTGCCCCGCGATCATGATGTCTATCTTTCCACGGAGGTTTTTCAGCTGCTCCGGTTCATCGGTGAGGAAGTGGGCGGGGGTAAAGGAGACAGCCTTCATTCGATCGTCATCGTTGAACAGTTCGTAACCTAACTGCCACAACTCGGGACTGAGATCGAGGGCCCACATCTGAGACGGAGAGACGCCATTTGCGGCGAGCAGACGTAGATTCTGACCTAGCCCTGTGCCGAGATCGATGATGGTTGTGCTTGGTTGGAGGGCGCGATCGACGACAGCGGGGAATTGGGGGAACTTGGCAATGCCGGGGAGTAAGAACATCCACTGGCCTACGCAGGGGTATTTGCCGTATTGCCACGCTTTGTCGCGCTGTGATTGTTAATACGTGCAGTGTAGTGTTGACCGTCATGGAAATATTTAGGCAGACATACCACAGCGTGAAGATGGGCGTCAAGCTGACCCTCGCTTACACCGCTCCATTGAGAGAAAATGTCCCGCATGGGCTGGCTGAGTCGAGGGCCAATATCTGTTTTGTACCAGACTGATGTGTCGATCTCGGCCATACTGTTTAAGTTTGTTTTCGGGTTCATAAGAGCGCTATGGACACAAATGGTGCTCTAAGGATATCGAAGATGGAGATGAAATTGCCCCTCTTTGGGAAGAGGTCAAAGCCAGCTATGTATACTAAGAAGCACTTATCACGTGCCATAAGCACAATTGGAAAAGACACACAAGCCGTTCTAGCATTATATATCTGGATTCATTGATCTAGCTAGCAGGGTAGAAGGATTCGTTATGGAGCAGACACCATCCTAGAGCGACGATTTCTTCTGAGCCACACAGACCACCCTTGGCATAGACAAGTGGAACCCCCTTCGCGATTCTTCAGCCAGCCCAAAAATCATGTCATAGATACGAGACGCCTCCTCCACCTTTCCCGCAGACTTCAGCCGAGCTGCAAATTCCTCTAGCACGAGTATATACTGGTCTCCATTCGCCTTGCAGAGTTCCGGCCGATCGATAAAATGAAACAGATCGGCATTAACGAACCCACCATGTCCATCCATCAACGATTGTGGTAGATCCAGCACCCAATCATTACGTCCGTTGGACTGGGCAAATTGCACGAATGCATCGCACGCTGGGCTGGCCTGGTTGCTTAGCTGTGCAGTGGGGGGCTTGGCCACGATCGTGTCAGGATAGTTCAGGTCGTCCCACTGGATGTATCCACCTGGCTTCAGGAGCTGAAAAACTTTATCGATGATGGGGAGAGGGTTGCTCTCCTGCACGACCAGGACGAGAAGGCGTAGGTGGACGACGTCGTACTTTCCGCGCAGGTCCTCAGGGACTTCGTCAAAGATGTTCCATTGGCGAAGACTGATGGAGGGCGTCACCCATTCTGGTACAGGCGCATTCTTCAGGTCCACGTCTAGACCGTCCAGCTGCAGAGTGTATGGCGCCATGGCTGGGTCCCGCATAAGGTCGCAAAGCCAGATTGCGGTGCCCGTGGCTAGATCGGCGATTCTGACAGTCTCACCGGCAGGGCCGAGGTCGATGGAGGGGTGGAGGTTGAATTGGAGTGATTCTTTCCACAGGTAGAATTGGAAATTGAGGCGTGAAGCTGCTGTGTAGTTACGATCCAGCATGTAGTCGAGTTCGTTGCCCATGTTGAAGCCGGAGTTGATAGTTTCAGGTTCCATTGTCAGCGAAGTGTAACTGGTAAGGCACAGATGCAAAATGGACTCAAGTGGTGGACCTGAGACTGCATGGGATCATCCGATTTATACATTTCGTTTACAGGTCACTGGGAATCCACTCGAATACGTAGCAACCTCAACTACTTCAGCTCATGTCTCCGGCAGATAGGTATGTGTTGGCATCGATCCACCCAGCTGAAGATCTGTGGCGTAGCTGAGGACACATTCCCTCAAGATACACAAGTTTTCTGTCTATAAATACTCGTATCGCAAGGGTTCAATACTCCTCTATCATCAACAACCATTCTCTTCATCCCTCAACATGACTATCCAAACTGTTCGACTTGGCCTTGCCGTTGGCCATGGCACCGGCCGTGAATTGGTCGCCGTCTTTGAACGGGTCATTCAGACACTCGCCAAACAATATTCGGTCAATTTTGAATTTGTTCGCTCTTCTTCTACCTACCACTCCTATCACACCCTCACTGTCTCCGGCGAGGACAAAAACTTGATCACGCACATTGCAGATGAAACCACCAAGGATGCAATTGACTATCAGCATTTCTGTGAGAATGCTGCTGCCGCTGGCATTGCGGCAATCTTCCGCACCGCCATCCACGCCCAATCTCTCTACCTGGTTCGGCAACACCTCCAAGCGGCCAAGGTGGAGCACTTTAGCCTCGGAGAGGGCAACGCCCTTCTCATGGTTCGCGATGAAGCACAGGGTTTCTACGCTGGCGATAACGCATACAGCGCCGACCAGCTGAGCATCACACGAACCACCAGCTTCAGTAAGCCCGTTTTCGACCGCATCATCCGCTTTGCACTCGACAGGGCGGCCGAAAACTGGGGTCCGGACAACGTCCCCAAGAAGGTGACCATGGCGTACAAGTTCCACCTTTTTGACGGCGTGTTCCAAGCCTGGGAACCCCAATGGAAAGCCCAATTTGGCATCGAGTTCAATTTTGTTCAGCCTGACACGCTCAATCGCAGCTTAATGGCAAATGGAGTCCAGGGTCGCTGCATCATCATTGCAGGAAACGAATACGCAGATGTCATCCAGCCCGTCTTTCTCAACTGGTTCGGTCAATCGACACCCGAGACCATGTACGCTGAGAACGTCTACCTGCGCCCAGACGTGAACGGCCTCAGCGAGTACCAAACTGTCCATGGGTCCGCCGATGCCATCGCTGATAAGGGCCTTGTCAACCCATTTGCTACCATTCGTGCCGCAGCCGCGATCCTGGAGCGACACGCTGGGGGCAAAGGTATCCAGAAGCTGACAGAGCAAGCTATTCAAAACCTCCTCCAGCGCAAACTCACTACCCCCGACCAAGGCGGTTCATTGAAGACAGAGGAAACAGTCGATTACTTCCTCCAAGCCATCACAAATCCCACACGATCTATCGCATCTACCGCCACCGCCTCAGGTGACCTCCAAGCCTTCCTTGGCCTGAAATCTGCCCTGGTAGTCATCGACTTCCAGAACGATTTCATATCCGGAAACCCCAGTCCTGCTATGGCAGGCGTCGTCAACAACGTCCCTCGCGCGATCGACTTCGCCCGCGCAAACAACCGCCCCGTCATTTTTGTTAGATTACTCGGAAACACCACCTACCAAAGCCCCAGCTGGCAGCACCGGGACGCCGTTCTCCAGAAACCCGAAAAATGCGTCGAGGGGACGTGGGGTGCGGAGGTTGGCCCTGGGGTGACGATTCAGCCTGGCGAACGCATCTTTGATAAGAAAGCATTGCTGGATCCGTTCTTGGTTCCAGAGTTCACGGCATATTTGGAAGAACAGGGCTTTGAGCATCTTGTTCTCGCGGGCTTGTTCTCAGATGTTTGTATTGATTCAACTGCGAGAACCGCGTTCCAGAAGGGGTTGAGGGTTACGGTTCTGGAGGATTGCACAACCGCTCTTCATTCGAAGCAGGCTGATCACTTGCAGTTTATGACCAAGCTCTACGGAGCCAGAGTGTCGAAGCTGACGGAGCTAGTTGGGATGGCTGTGTGATAATATTTTGTTTTCTTTACTTTGTGTGGAAGAAACATGTCTCATACAATTAGAAAGCCATCGTTTACAACGTCTTAAATGATCAATATATAAAGAAGGAAGTAGTTTCGATTCAAGGAAGTGCATAACTCACTGACTATCATAGGGACCTGGGGTCGCACCTAGAGAGGCTAGAGTAGCAAAGAGCGAGGTCAGGCCAGGTCATACCTGCTGCCAGGTTAACAGCCCTCAACAGCCAGATCAAAATTGATTTTGTACTCAGGATATAAAATCATGATTAGGAAGCTACCATATATATCTCCCCCCCCCAAAATCCTACTTGTACCCTTGCCTTAACCTTAAAGCTTTGATATGTAGTCAAGATTTTGAGAGTCTTTTAGCACCCGACAAATATCTGTTATACAGTATGGATATTTCTAAAAGAAAAGTGAGAGTATAAATAAAAGATATTATGTCGGCGCACTAACTGCAAGACCAAAAACAAGATATCACATCTAGTCAGACTAGCGATGGAGAGATTACTGTCCCAACATTTTATATAAAGGTTGTTGAAAAGCCTGTGGAGTGCCTTATTGATGTGTTCCTAGAAATTGATAAACATATTTAATCAGTTCAAAGAAATTGTAACTGTATAGTTAAAATATTAATAATTTACGAACTCAAAAAATTGCCTTCTAGTACTTAGTCGGGAGTAATCAATCATAAGCCTGATACTACACAGTATTGTCCTACAACTCTAAAGAATCCAAAGATATGAATTAATAAGATATATAAAGATTATGAAGTGTATATTCACTACTAGTAAGTCTAATTTAATATCTAGAAATTCATTCAATATTCACACCTGCATATCTGAAAGGGATGAGTCTATTGTAATCATCACTAATCCTTCAACATATATCCTCGCTTATCCAACAAACCTAGATCTCTAAAATCGCCGACCGTCTTCCAGGGTCCTCCACTGGCACAGGTCCAGGTGGGTACATAATAGGGGACCTCATCCCCTCCCGGTTGAAGCTCATACCGCTGGTCCCTGGGAGTCGGCAAGGTGCACGGCTCAAAGGATTGCACATCTCCATTTGAAGCTGCATGATCCATTGTTTCAGGGGTATACTCGCTTTATCGGCATCAAAATAGAAAGCTATCGATTGACCACCCGTTGGATCAGAATAAAAATCGTGCGGATCGATAGAAGGCTGTGCACTTGAATCCGGTTGTGCATCCGCCTGCCCACGTTCCATATATAAGTCATCCTGCAACTTTATCTCTCTCCCACGGTAACCGAGTTTAGACAACTGGACAAATTGCAACTCTAGGTTATCTGCAATAAACTGAAAGCTCCGCATCCAGAGCGTCTTTATCTCATTTATCACTTCAATGGAAAATGAAGAGCCCCAACTACTTCCCTCTTCAGTTATCGGGCCTGGATCTCGTGCTGCGATTATCGCATCCGTCAAGCTGATAATATTCATACTCAGCCGTTTCAACGTCGGCGCTGCTGTCTGAAGAAATTGCCTGAGCGTATCCACGGTCACCTCAATCGAGTGGAGATGGATTTCCTCTAACTGGGAAAACCGGATCTTTCCGGAGAGATCCTCAAAGTACAGGGGGGATAATTCTTCCCAGGGGTTCCATTGAGCAAATGCCAGTATCTTCAATTTAGGTGCAACTGTGACCAGAATATTGAGAAGACGTTTGAAGGTCTCTTCCTCGAAGTTATCTTGCTCGTGATCCTTAATGCGGATACACATATGCAGAGCCGTCAGATCGCTCAATAGTGGCAATAGTAAGTTATACCTTGACTCGGGCAATTTCAAGGACCCCAAATTCATCCCGCAAGCGTAATTGCCGCACGTATGGAGGGATCGGATCTTTCGATTGGATTTGATTATGGCTTGAAACACCTGTGAGATTGCCAAACCAAAAGGCGTGGACAACATATCCTTGCGAAAACTTGCGAATGTTAAATGACCCAGTACATCATCGCTGTTGAACTTCTTAAATTCCCGTAAGCCAAGGCAGCGAAATGAACGATAGTTTGCTTTCAACAGGAGGAATTCAAGGGGGTAAGAGCGCAATGCGATCGTGGTGGCGTTTTTGAGGCGTGGGAGGCATTTCTCCAGAACCCCATGAAGTTCCGAGTCAAGGATAGCACGGTGCTCTGCTAATATACCTTCGTAAGCAGCAAATAGAGCGTCAAACTCAGCTTCAGCATTGGTAGATGTTGGATTCTCCTTTTCGCCACGCATCATTCTTAGAATTTTTCTCTGTTTCCTCATTGACAAACCCGAACTTTTGAAATTCTCCTTATCCCTTTGTGGCCAACCCTCAAACAAATTGGGAATGATCCAAATTTCTTCAACCCAATCCCGAAGAGCTTCACTGGCTGCAATCTCCTCCAGATGGTCAAGGCTATCACGAGTGAGAAGAAGTGAGAGACTTTTGAAGTAGCGCGTCGCATAGGCTTCCAGTGTATTGGCATATATTTGGTGGCATGTAATCCGGAGCGCACCCCACTCTTGAGGTTCTAGAAGCTCACAAATGCAAATCAAGATTTCCAGAGGCAGGCTTAAGATAGACATCTTGCACCGGTTTAGTTCGGCTGCACCAAAATATGCGGTAATCGTAACCTTGGATCATAAATCACCCGCACTGTGAGGGTTGGCGTGGGAAGGGGCTTGTAGAAAGGTTGTTCGGCGGAGAGTCAATTCCGGAGATGCTTAAGGACCGGAAATCCCTCCAGTCCGTAGCAACGTTTAGGTTTGATTGGGACTTCGGGGCGCGTCGGGAGCAGACGGGCGCGCCACATATACTATAGGTTAGCCTAGGTTAGCCTACCACTAAGGGCTCAACCACACTGAACCAGCGAGAGAAATAAGATTGCTCAACTCAAGTGCTAGTCCATTTTCTATACCCACAATGTCATTTATAGTTCTAAAATAATTTGCAAGTTGTGACTTAATCAACGCCGGCACCATAGTGAGAGTGCCACATAGTAGGTACCATACTTCCTTAAGTATTTGACATTTGGTTGCAAAGTCCTATTCGCAGTTGAAGTTATACCTGAAGCGTGATCCAGAATGTCGTACAGCGCCCCAATTAGGTATGGTCCCACTTTTGAAGAACTCCAGCATGAAAGATGGCCGGAGTCGCGCTTCCCATAGTTTTTGAGCTATAGTACTACCAAGCCCAAGCAAAATGGACATAATTTCCAGTATTATGATAAGCAAACTTTGTCGCACGTGTACCGAGCGCATAGGGATCGAACGCCAAGGAGAGGCAGTCCATCATAAGATTAGTGTGTGAGTGGATAAATAGCATCTATCATTATGTACAATGTCGAAGGCAGAACAACAAGGTTATCCTGAAATGGTACTCACAACTGTGATCCACAATCATGTTTTGTCCGCCTACCACAGTGTTTCCGCTCTGATCCCACCTGGTCACTACAGTAAAACACGGTTATAAGCAATACCTGATATAGGGAATCCTCCATTTAAATTGACCAAATCACTGTTCTGAATTGATTTTCTTTATAAGATTATATGACACTTTAATATTAGATATTTACCCTTTTTTTTTTTTTTACCTCCTATATAAATTCGCTATTATCAGAGTAAGGTAGATTTGAATAGCTAATTATATATTAGAAGTTACCAGTTAAATATTATAAATATAGAGATGTATAGGATAATATATGTAAATTATATTAAAACACATGATTTTAGCTAACTTGTCCTTTTTTTTCTAGGTAACTAATTAATTTTAAGCGATTTTACATACATTTTAGTATAAGAGATTGTCAAGTATAAGCAATTTGAGAGCTGGTCTCAACTAATTGCTTATATCCGTGTTATACAGTAGTTATAACGTAAACCACGGCTAAGCGGCCCACACGGTTAGGCGGACATCTGGTTATCCCATATAAAAGATATCTTTTTCTCGACTGATACTGAATCTAATTAGTTATAACTTTATATAAGGATAATATACAGCAGATTAAATCATATACAGTTTTTCCGGATTTTTAAAAATTTCTCTTATATAAAACATATTGATATATCTGAAATTACAGATAAATTACAGATTTTGTAATATGATAAGAGACTATTTATATTCATATAATTTATAATCTATTCATACAGTATTGAGACTTCTAGTCTTATGATAGTTGAGATATCTTGTGTTTGAAAAGAGTCTTTTAGATAAATTCACCGGAATTGTAGACACATCACGGTGGACCCAGGCTGGATGGAACTTAAGATGTGCCCTGTCGATCAAATCCGCTGTCACAGTAAGAACGCCAATATCACTCAGCAGGGTGTTACCAGCCGAGGTGTCATTGAGTGTGTTGTCCTTCAGCATAATTGGGCAAATCAAAACAATGTCCGAAAGAGCTTGTCGGTAAACGAGATAATTCAACCCATTGCGATTCAAAACTCTTTAGGGATGCGAAATTACCGAAGGAGGTAAGCCCATCCAACCTACTGGTATCGAAACACATCGCACCTGTCGAAAAAGTTGTGGGGGATATGAGATAGTACTTGTTTAGCGATGGAACCTAGTATGGTACTTGTTCACCTCCAATGTAGCTCGCTCAGTCTCCAAACACTTCTTCAACTGACGTGTGGAGTGTTACATACTCGCCTGTGCTATCGAGCATAAAAGTGTTTCAAGGAAAGGGTTCTCCAAAATCACTACAGAATAGATTCGCTGGATATGTCCAAGCCTGGTACACGCCATTATTGGTGATACCGTCTTGGAGGCGTTGAATGTGTTCCATCCCAGGTAAGTGCATGGTAAGTGACGGCTATGTCAATAACTCCTTATTTAACTAAAATCAGTAATCTTTGATTGTCCAGATCACTGAGCATGTTCTTCAATTGTGGTAGAGTCACTTGTGAGGATGGAAAGCCTGTATATTAGATAAGACATTAGCTACTAAATCATATAGATTTAAGTGAATACAAGAAAGATAGACTATATTTAGGGAATACACTAACTCCCAAAGAATTGATAGTCCAATAATAAGAGGCCACTGCCTTATACTTATCCTAATAAGTTACAGTTACTATTGATAATCTGATAACTTAATTATGTATTCTAGTATTTTATTCTGCTGGCCCCAACCACGATAGCCTAGCTATTCTATCACATCAAAGTACACTGTAAGAATTTGAGGATATTTAACAGGGTTAAATCCGCGTTGTTTGGCTTTCTCATTTTACTACTGGATTGCTTGACGAGCCATGCCAGTAATAGCTTCAATCTGACTAGTAGGAACACCATGGTAGCGCAAGGTAAGCGCTTGAACGCTTACACAAACTCACACAATATACCTTGAGTTGCCGCTGGCACGTCGCACTGGAATCCAGCCGAGCGAGAAAACTTGCCGACAATTTCCACTGCACCAACGAAAAATTGACCCTCGATATCTGCGCTTGAAATGCAGATAACAGGCAGACAGGCACGTAAACATCGAAGTGTTGAAAGAATTGCATCCAATTAATATAAAAGCCAGTTTACATAGCTTCATATTGCTTTTTGCTGTAAAGATGCTCCATTGCCTCGTGATGAGGCCTCCGTAGCAGTCTATTTTCATGAGTATGGGATACGATGCAGAAAGCGCAGACAAAAGGCACTCTGATTCGATCGGTAGCAATTTCTGTTGTTCTAGATACATGGAAGAAAGCAGAGGAAGAAGACAAAGCACGGATCGGAGGGAGGTGGGAGGCGTTCTTCCAAACGGGAAGGAACGCTACAGAATGTGATAGATCGATTGGTAAGGGTCTGTGAGGAAACCGCCAAGCCTGCTAGCGCATGCTAATGACTTAATGACTTTAGGAGCATACCTCCGTAGATAACTAGGTTACATCGAATGCGGACGAAGTCTCATGTTGCAGGGCAGCAGTCAAGACATGAGCCTTCCAATAATGGAATCGAAAAGAAAAAGCCAGCCAATAACCGTCCTGGCCAAGAGCACGTCAACTCGGACTGTCTCTTCTAGCCCTTACCGAAGGTTTAAGGTCTCAACCACCAAGTTTGGCAGGCGTTGCAGTGTTCAAAACCACTAAAAGACAGCCGATCCGAGAGCAGGGTGGACCATGCAGCACACAGACTTGATGCGGCCCGACGAAGATTGGGTAAAATCGTCCGATGAACCGCTGACTTTAGACATACCGGTACTGACACGATACGAGAGGCAACTCGCAGACGCCTCGGAAAGAAGAAAGATCCAAAATCGCATCGCACAGCGTGCATATCGTATGTCTACCCTTGTTACTTGTACCTGCGATCCAATGGAGAGATTTATATTGCATGGGAGCTTGACCATCACATAGAACATATCTACCATAATGACCTGACACCTGACCTTGCCTATCTCAATTTACCTTTGGAAGATATGCCGATGCTAAGTGTAACGATGCATAGGACGGAACATGCGCGACCGATTAAACAAGATCGAGCAACTCACAAAACAGCTAAGAGCGTACGAGGAGCTCAACCTAGGGCTTCACATCGCACGGAACGGAGAGAGCACATCCGTATATCAGCAGCAACAGCATCAGAGCAGCAGTAGCAGTCCATCAACACTGCAGGTGCCACTGCCGCACGAAAACCGAGGGAGGAGCAGTGGAGGCTGCTCCCCTCCACCCGAATGGGAAGCTATGAGCACGCCATCAGAAGCAGAACCACAACCACAAGCACCAAGTGAAAGCAGGGAACAGTGTATGCCGGTACCACTCTCAGTTCCAAGAAGCACGCGATTCAACTACATGAACCAGCAAGAATGTGTAGCTTCAGCGGAGTATCTACAGCAACCGATCTCGGCGACCAACCTAAGAACATCTGTACCTGCGTTTACATGGCAGCCGCAGCAGATAGAAAACAGGTCGCGAACCAGGACAAATAGACAGAAAAAAGAAACAGGTGCAGAGCCTCTAACACCAGCGTCAAGTCTCCACCTCCCCATAGGAGCAGAGATGGAGATGGATAGTGACGGGAACGGGATAGCCAAGTCCGATGCAGGAGGGGTACCTGTACTGCCACTGAGCGCAGCTGAACTTTCTCCCACGGCAGACGAGCATTTTGCACTGGAGATAAGGGACTGGACCGCTGAGAGTCAGAGTCAGAGTCTGAAACGGACTCCGTTGCTGCACATGGCGGTTGCGGGGAATCATCTGGATACGGTCAAGGTGCTGCTGCAAGATGAAAGGGTCCTGATTGATGAGGAGGACAGCGAGGGTTTCACGGCTGTGCAGCGGGCTGTTATGCACGGCCGGTCGAAGATTGTTAAGCTGCTGCTTGAGCATCAGGCTAAGACGGACCCGGGCCCCGGGTCCGGTAGGGGAGTCGATTCAGCTTTGTAGACTGGTTCAGCACAAGTCGAAGTTGCCAAGAGAAGCAGAAGGGGTAAAAGAACTAGGGAAGTACAAGCACAAGTACAAGTACGAATACGTCCGTATAACGCAACTCTTCCGCTGGCGCTTACACCTAACACCGTAGCTGCTTACTAGATGATAGTCAGCTATAAAACAAAGAGAAAAGTAAGCAAATTCCAAATTGAATGGTTCGACAATCATAGGTATCACAACGTCAACACCCACCAACATAAACCAAACCATGCCGCCCACCCTCATCTTCCTTACCGGAGCAACAGGCCTAATCGGCTTCCGCATACTAGTTCTCTGCCTGCAACATGGCCACCGAGTCCGCGTCGCCCTGCGCACCCTCAGCGCCAAACACCGCATCCTCAACACGCCATCCATAAAATCCCTCTCCACAACCAATCCCACCCTCACAACCACTCACCTAACCTTCACCGAAATCCCCGATCTAACCATGCCCTCCGCCTTCGACCCAGGTCGCGCCCTACAAGACGTAACACACATCATCCACGCCGCCGCCCCAATCGCCTCCGCAGACCCCGCATCCATCGGCCAGAACCTAGAAGCGCATTACATCCACCCCACAATCAACACCTGTCTGAACCTCCTCTCCTCCGCACGCGCCCAATGCAGCGTCAAACGCATCATTCTGACATCCTCGCTCGCCGCCCTGATTGACCACGCAGAAGATACAGAGGACACGGTGCACGCGGCCACCACGCGCGTAGTCAATGTCCAGTCCCCGCCGTACTCTTCGCCATCGGAGGCTTATACCGCTGCCAAGGTTGGCGCGCTGAAGATGGTCGAGGACTGGGCGAGATGGGAGAAACCGGCGTTTGATGTCGTGCATCTTGCGCCCGGGCATGTGTTTGGGGTGAATGAGCTTGTTGATGACCCGCGGGAGTTGCTGGGTGCTGGGTCGAATCGGATTATACTTAGGGCTGTTGTTGAGTCTGGATCTAGATTTGAATCATTCCTTCAGATTCAGACGCAGACAGCGCCAGCGCCAGCGCCAGAACCAGGGGTTACAGTGCACCTAGACGACGTGGCGGAAGCGCACGTTCGCGCGCTGAACCCATCCATCCCGGGGAACAGACTGTACATTCTGAGCTCGGGCGGGGAAATGGGGACGCAGTTGGATGAGTGCTTTGGGGTTGTGGCGCGGTGGTTTTCTGAGGCTGTTAAGAGGCGAGTCTTGCGGGGGAAGGGGAGTCTGCCGTCGTCGGTATTTAGGGTTGATGCGCAGGAGTCGGCGAAGATTCTGGGAATGGAGTTTAGGGGGTTTGAGGAGCAGGTGAGGGATGTGGTTGCTTATTACCTTTTGTGTTTGGAGCGGAGGGGTGGGGATTGCACTGCGGGGATAGGTGGGTAGGTAGGTAGGGTATTAGGGGGTTGATAAGGTTATGGTTAGTTTGTGCGTTCTGTTGGTGTGTTATAGTATCCTAGTATACGGCTTCAGATTTATCGAGGTAGACTTCTTGTTTTATTGGAGATTATGCACAGGGCTCCGTTCGAACTGTCTGTCCTAGTCAAGATATATCTCAATGCAGAGTAGAGCCCCACCTACTCAGTTAAGATCAAAACCGAGACCGATCAGTCCAAGACCACTTCCATGGCCTACGAACCCTCCGGCACCTTCCACCCCTGCCTCCCAGCATCCTCCCTCTCCAACGAATTCTGCCTCGTAAGCAACGAAAGTGCCGCCGCCAATCCTGCAATCGCCGCCAAAACCACCCAGATAATATGGAACGCATCCTCATAAGCATCTGTCACCACCCGTATCACCTCTGCATCCACATCGTGAATTTCCCTCATCCGCGGAATGAATCCTACCGACTGGCTTGCATCGCGCAGCACGGAAATGGACTCGGGCAACTCGGCTCCGGTCCCGGTCAGTGGCGACATTCCGCGCTCGAACATGGAATTGAACACTGTCGAGCAGATCGCCAGGCCGAGCAGGGATCCCACGAACCGCGCTGTCACCAGCATTCCCGCTGCGAGACCCTCGTCGTTGACGTTTCGCACGCTCGCGAGGACAGTGATCATTGTCGCGACGAGAGTCGTACCAAGTCCGGCGCCTAGGATTGCTTGGAAAGCGTAGACTTGTGCGCGGGTGGAATCTGCGTCGACCATGTAGTTTAGGCCTAGGAAGATAGCGGTGATGAACCAGCCTGTCCAGAGGGCGATGCGGTACTTGCGTCTCCAGTCGATGAACAGGGAGACTATGATGCTCATTGCCACAACGAGGCAGCAGAGCGAGAGAATGGATTTGGCCGCTTGGATCGGTGCTTCCAGGTAGACGGCTTCGAAGAAGAGCGGCAGGTAGAGGAGGACCGGGTTCAAGAGGGCGCCGTAGAACGCACCGGATAGGGTTCCAGTGATGATGGAGATGTTGTCGAAGATCTGGTATGGAATCATGGGCGCTACGGCTCGCTTCTCGACGAACCCGAAGGGCACGATCAGCAGGAGGCCCATGAGCAGCGGGACGAGCGTCTGCCATGAGCCCCAGGGGTAGAGGGTATCCGCCCAGCTGAGCGGTAGGGCAATAGTTGTACCGATGACGATGAACAGCCCAAAGCCAAGCCAGTCAAGTCTGCGGATCTTCTCATTGACGCTCCCTTCTAACGGAGTGAGATGGAGGAAGAAGAAGGCCAGAACGCCCGTAGCACCCGCGGTAATGAGATTAATCCATCCCAGCCAGGGCCATCTAACCTCCTGCGCGAACTGGCCGCCGATGAAGGGGCCCGTCACGGCGCCCACCGCATTTGCCATGGACATGACACCCAGCCACCACGGGCGCTCCTTCAGGGTCGTGATGTCACAGAGAATGATACTTTGCAAGACGTCTAGCCCGCCAGACCCCAGACCCTCGATCAGCCGACCGACGACGATAATGTCCATGTTTGTTGCGGTGGCGAAGACGATCGACCCGATCCCGAAGAGGACGAGGGAGGCGTAGAGCACGTATTTGCGGCCCACCACATCGGAGATGTTGGAGTAAACGGGCTGGGTGACGGCTACGCCGAGAATGAAGGCGATGTTGGCCCAGAAGGACTGGAAGTTGGTCCCGTGCAGCTGGTCGGCTATGACCTGCGAGATGAATTGGTTAGCTTGACAGAAGCGCCGTGGCCATGCGAGGCAAAAGACCTACCGGCAAAGCCAGCGACAGGGCCGTCACATCCCAGGACACGATCAGTGCAATCACCGCCAGCATCAAGATCGACAGGTAGAAGGAGTAGTGCTTTTTTGGCGGTGCCGGCGTTGGTGACTGGGACCCGGACGCGGCCTCGTCTTGCCGGGTCACTCTGGCCTCCGGATCCTGGTCGTGGCCCTGACTCTGGCTCGTGGCTTTCTCCATGCTCCCTTCGTCCTTGTCAGTCGAAGCTGAGATGGAATCAGACCTGACGGGGGAAGGCGGATACAGGAGTTAAACACACGCCGGGCCACATCGTCGCGTCTGAACTCCTACATTTACTTTTACTCCGACTCCGAGCAGACACCTGAGGCGGGAAGACGTCGGACCTCCCATTGTCCTTCCTTTCTTCTGTTCTTGGTCCTTGAGCCCCAGGACGGGCAGGTGAAAGGGTGAATGTGGGTGTGGGCCAGGTGCTGACTGACGGGCTTACTACGCGAATACTCCGATACGAGACCATAACTTAGTATTGTGTAATATATTATCACGGGAAAGCGGTAATGACGGGTGTATCATTGGAAACGATGGTCTTACACTAGGCCATCTTACTCTTGCCCGCACAAACGATCTTACTAAGGGACCAAGCTGATGGTGCTCAGGGTTAGTTTGACATGAGCTTGAGGATAATGGGTAAGCGCTTGCTTGGTTTGCACAGACCATATGGATGGCAGAAAAATGTAATTTTCCATTCCATGGGCGACCTTGAGGTACAGAGTCAATGAACATAGAGCACAACAGAGTAAGCAGGCATAGTATAATATCCTCCTATTCGTACAACAAGCCCAGGCCTGGAAAGCTGAGTAGAGTATGATCTTGTAACCATAGACATTGCTCCGAGATAGCTGGAGCCATCTTTGCTTGCGCTATGGACACCACATGACACTCTCTGCATTATTACGATATCGAAACGCACGACCTATGATCAAGAGAGATTAATAGGGCAGACGGCATCATCCACACTCATTTCCACTCCCATTTCCATTTCGTTGGAAACAACTAGACCATCATGAGCGGCCCTTCCAACGGGGCAAATGGGTCCACGAATCATCTGGGCCGAACAAATGGAAACACTTCTCCGAACGGGGACAACGGCCTCAACGGTCTCAATGCCAATGGTCATAATGACTCGACATCAACGACCAACGGGACAGGCAATCACCAAAAGCCCGCGTCCTCACCTTCAAGCCCAGCCCCAACCTTTCAGCCTGTTGCCATCTGCGGCATGGCATGTCGACTACCAGGAGGCATCCACTCCCCCTCGGAGCTGTGGTCCTTCCTTCACGCTGGCCGCGACGCTCGCGGCCCCGTGCCATCTTCGCGCTACAACATCTCCGCGTTCCATTCACCGCACAAAAAGCCCGGCACCGTCATTGCTCAGCAGGGGTACTTTCTCGATTCGACCAACGACCTCGCCGCGCTGGACACCTCGTTCTTCTCCATGCCACGCCGCGAGGTCGAGACCTTGGACCCCCAGCAGCGCTTGCTTCTCGAGGTCGCCCGCGAGGCCATCGATGACGCCGGCGAGACGCGGTGGAAGGGTACCAATGTTGGCGTGTACGTCGGCTGCTATGGCCAGGACTGGTACGACATCTCGGTGAGGGACACGCAGGCCCATGGTATCTACCAAGTCCTGGGCCAGAACGATTTCATGGTCTCGAATCGGCTCTCCCACGAGCTCGACCTGCACGGCCCCAGTGTGACGCTACGGAGTGCTTGTTCCGCTTCTCTCATCGGCGTCAATGAGGCATGCATGTCCATTGCGCGCGGCGACTGCACATCCGCCATCGTT